TTACCTGGTTTTCATTTTTATGCATACATATAAACAAATTTTAAATAATATACATAATTGTAAATATGTAAATATTTCACTAAGTGCGTTCATATAACCGTATACGTAAACGCATAAAATTATACAATTGATTAATTGTATATATAAAAAGTAGCATAGTTATAAGATCACCAATGTGTTCCGAGTTATTTAAGACCTAGTATTGTCATGACAGAGCACATTTTGTTTTCACTTGTCATCTGTTGGCAAGTTCTGATCGCTTTTATTTGTTTATTTCTTTTAAGTTACAGTAGACTGAATCAGCTCGTAATAGACAATTTTCTTCCAATCTCACTAAACACTCAACATAGCCTTGCTTGTCGCCAATCTAGGCATGGAAGTCGTTTGTCACCGGGCTTTGACCACGACCACGATTGAACATACTTACATTTAATCCATTTTTCATTGTCCATAAATGATTCCAAACTGTAATGTGATTGATGTTTAGTGATTCCTTTAGCTTCTGACAGCATGCGTGTTGGGCTTGCTTCTGCAGTTCTAAAAATATCATCGACATTTTTACTTGGGTGGCGATTAAAAGTGAGCTCCATTTTGGAAGTGGTCTAAGCCACTTGTCAAGTAATTCTCCTTTATAGTTGATATCTGAAAATAAGCTTATATACCAAATGAAATTCAAATTGGTGTTTAATATGACATTTATGCTTAATTGAAATAAAAAATTTTTTTTTTGTAATTGTTAAAAGCTATCACTCCGTCAACATACCATATCTATTGTTAAAAATTTATTTCCTCAAGCAATTTTTAATGTTTTTGCCTATTTATAATAAACACTTTAACTTTTTGATCTGTTATCAGATCAAGTTTCATTAATATTTATATTTTACCTTACAAAACATATTTTGGTACATTTTGTTATATATATGCTTCCAAATAAGATGTCCATATATCCTCTAAAACTGTCTAGTATCCTTAAAATTAGCGGTAAAGTTGCCTTCTTTTATTGTTTTTGAAGCTGATTGCCAACATGCCAGAGAAGATAATTGTTATACCCTACAAAGAAAATTGTTCATTATTACTATATATACATACACATTATTTTAAAATATTTTACCACCAAACCCACTAAAATCCAGTCACTAATAGTTTCTATTTCCGAACTATTTGCATAGGCTTCGCTAACAACTTGTATGCATCCAGTAGAATAGAGTAAAGTTGGAGCGGTTGAGTTTCCTCCAATATAACAGGCGGGAGGTAGTGGTAAGCCACTTTGTATATAATCATTGGGACCATTTTTGCCACAACAATTGTACTAATAAATAAAATGAATAAATATATATTAAACGTATAAAGATTTTTTCTTTTAAATTGTAGTTATAGAAGTTTTATAAACCAAGTAATTATAAAGAAAGTGGAAGCATTTTTACATCAATAAATTTTTAAATATATGTTAATTTCAGAATTTTTTCCTATTCTTGATAATAAAGAAAACCTCACCGTAATTTTAAATCATGATATAGAGGATTTCAGATTCAATTATAGCGCAAAGTTAAGAATCCAGTCCACACATATATATTTAGAAAGTGTTTATTGATATTTTGAACTTGCAGACTCTGGATTCATATGTCTATATCATTTTTCTCAAAAATTGTTTCTCATCAGACTATATTATTATAGCTCTCCGGCTTTAAACAACTCACCTTTATCTCATATTGTGTCATTGTGCTATTGTTGATAAGTTGTTGATTCCAGACATAAGTTATGGTTTCATTCGCAAGCTTGTTAAAGTCGACCGGTTGTAAAAATATGGCACATATCTGTGCCGCCATCAATAGGAACATGATAATAGTATACTGAAAGTAATCAGTTATATTTTTATAGTCACATTTTAGAATATTATTGCCATAAATAATTGCATACTTACACACCAAGTCATTCGGTCAGACTGACGAACTGCACCCCAGCACCCAAATATTGTAGTTAGGAATAGCAGCGACCCAACAGTGATACCTATAATGCAAGGCACTTTTATGGCATTACTATCATTCCAAGCTACAATAGCATATGCATTCGCTGAGAGCATCATGGCACCGAACATCTAACGGAGTAAGTTAAAAAATAATTATTAATTAGAAGGGATTTCTGAAACAATAACTATAACATATTTTGATGATTAAAGTATTATATCCTGAAATTATACGATTTTTGCAGTTAGTACTATAGAATCAAGTTACGATTAAAGAAGTTCAAATCTTTACCAACTATAAGATCACTTTGTTGATAACTATTTTACGTCACTAAATAAGTTTGGTTATTGTGTGGGACTGCTAGGTTATATATCATACCTTACATATGCATATTTCACTGATTGTTAATATGGGTTCTTAAGGTATGGATAAGTGTTTGAGGAATGGATTGTAAATCTGGCTTTCCATTTAAGCTACAGAGTACGGTTTAACAAGCTGATTCTGAAAGTTGAGGTATTATTAGGATTGCCAATAGCCTAAATTTATTTAGCTTAATTTAACAGATTGTGTTCAGAAAGTGATTCCTACTACTATCTTTTGCAACAAAAATAATACTAAAAGCCTGGATTAGCACAATAGATCTTATACGTTGTAGTGTATCATTGTACCTTCCAATATAAGTATTTCTGAAAGTTAGCAAAGAGGTGATAAAGAGAAGAAAGTATGAGAAAGTAAAAATATCTTTAAGATGCTAGTTACGGTAGTTATTGTGTTGGAACTTAAGATGTAAAATAAGTTCTGACTTTAATTCACACTATACTTTTTGAGGATTTGTAGAAAATGAAAAAAAAACGATATTTATTGAGATATTTCATTTGAAGTTTCATAGCAAGTTGGCACAGTAACAGAAATAACGAAATATAAATTTAATGCTAAAGTATCGCTGTGTACCTGCATTGCAGTAAGAGACCTAATTTGAATTCTTTATCGATTTCGAGGTATCGATTTCGAGGTATCGATGGCGAGTGATATAAATTTTGACGCTTTTGATAGTTCATTGAATAGTCATTCATGCCAAAAAATTCGTTCTCTCGAAAGTTAGAAAAACATTTCAACACTTCTTAAATAACGAGGTCTGGTAAATGATGACATTTTACTACGGGAGCCTCTGAATTAATGACCATGGGTAGCGAGGATAGCACCTCAAAGATGAATATTTCATAAAAATACTCTTAAAAACATAGAATCTCATATTCGATTGTGTAGTAGCAAAATGCCGGCTATGCGCTACTTGGACGAATGAGGAAGCCGCCTCCAAAACCAATTAACTCATATAAACATTAATATAACTATAATGTCGAAATATTCAAAGAATATTAAATGTTCTTATCAAAAAAATAATATGTTAATTAACTTATATCTTTGTCAGGTATATAATATAAATACATAATGATTAATGAAGGGCTTAGAATTAATCTTTTACTAGGTGACGAGTCGTTCTCACTGCAATTTGTTAATGCATATAACGCTCTCATATCGGCTCGAAATCAATGTGACACATTGTTAAGTAGCACTTGTTTTATTACGGCATTATTTATTTATATACATATATAATTTGAATTATATTTACTAAAATTAATTAAATTGCACAAAATTTTTATCAGCTCGACATTTCAATAATTTTTATGAAATTATCTCACGAGGCACTTACACAGCAGAGAATATTCAAAATAAATGAAATGAACTTCAGCGTGTACGTAGAGCAAACCATTTTGACTTAGCAAACTTTGTAGTAATTAATTTAATTAATTAATTAATTATAATTAATGTGAGCAATTTTTTGTATTATAAAATATTGATTATTTCGAAGTTTTTCGAAGTTTTACGTAATTATTTTTCATTAGATACGCGTTCGAAATAGTGAAGCCACAACCGAAAGTTGGTAACTGATTGTTGTCATTTGCGCCCTAATGTTAGACAGTCCCGCCTAGCTTAAGTCAAATTCTGTGGGTTATCATATCGCACTGATAAGGCTACTACTCAGCGAGGTCTTAGCGCTCATTAATTATTGTTGCAACATATGTAAACAAAGCGCTATGCGAATCAGTGTACTTCTGAATGTTCTATTATTAACAAACAAAAAGAGAAAAATATTTGTTTAATCAAAATAAACATAAAACACAACCACAAAAAAAAAAAAATGCCGAAAAGGTGAACTGTTTCCATATCAACATTGTTTTGATTATTAGAAGAAGATGAAATTTGGATATTTGCAAAAAATTTTGATAACATTTCCAGAGATTTGTCTAGAGTCACATTTGAGTGGCGCTAATAATTTAAGAGGTTCTCAATATCAATAATAATGAGTCAAAATATTTAAGTACTTATGGTAGAAGTTTTCAACAATGTCGTTAACTTGATTTCTGATTTCCAAAAATCTGAGATGGAAAGCTATTTATGGAGACATATATAGACATACGAGCAGACAGGTGCTTATACTTATAAGTTGTGACTGATATATATTTTCAGGTCACATTTCCATCGTTTTCTTCAAAATATATGATAAGTTAGTGAAGCAAAGTTTTTGGAAATCCAAAGTGGAGCAGTGTTTTAAGGAACATGGATAATCCATATTGAAAAAATATTTTTCGTTGTTGATTTTTAATTGCTATGTGCAATTCAATTCGATTCAATTCAATTTAATTTGACAAGAAAATATGGCAATATCAGTTCAGCTACGGATATAAGCTAAGGTCTAAAAGAGTCTTATCATTTAGTAATTATGGGGTTCAGCACACAGAAATAGTCTTTCATTTCATTAAGAATTTACTAGAAGAAATGTTTAATAAGCACTTGACAAAAAAAAAAGAACATGGCCATGCCTTATAATTTAAGATATAAGCATAGACTCCTAGTTTCATCACTAAGCCAATGTGGTGTTCAGCACACGGAAATAGTCTGTAATTTCATACAGAATTTATAATAAATTAAGCCCAATAAGCAGTTCATGCAATATTATATCGACCCATATCTCTAAACGATAATCGCCTAGTTGTTGTTATATACTTGTAATTTATTATATTGAAAAGTAACCGGAGTTTTTTTGCAATATATCTGGCAACACTATTCCAATTATTTGCAAACAAACAAAAGTTTGAAACGTGATACTTTCGAACATATTTTCTATAAAAATAGAATAGTAATACTCGTAATACTCGCTCGTATAACCTCAGATCTGCATACCTCCCCGAGGAGCCTGTAATTATTCTGAGATTTGATAACGCGGTGTTGGTAGTCTGTCAGTTTTCGCAAATAATTTTAGGGGTCTAGCCTTTATGTATTTTTTAATGGGATCAATCTTGAGGTCCCTGAGGATGTCATTCGTCCTAATGTACCATGGTACAACATTGTAATATATTAAATATTATGTTATTTATTTATATGTTATATATGTTTGTAAATAATTATATATATATATATATAAACGGAGTAGGTTTTTTTTTTAAATTATATACAAAAAAAAACAAATTTCTTACCTTTCGTAATTTAAGTTACTGCTTTCCTATTATTTATTTTTTTTTATTTATTATGCTGTATTACAATGTATTATAACATTATCGGACTGTTTGGGGTATTACCGTTTAAAATGAGAAGTAAAAAGCGAACTCAATTTATTCGTAAAAATGAGGTACTACAAATGTTTAAGAACTTCTCTGATAGTAATAAATATAATTTTTGCGGTAAGTTAGATTCATAAGACTATAAGACTATTCATAAGACTGTACTCATAAGACTATTTCACAGTAAGAATGTAGCTATATCTTCTGCTAACAAATCAAACCATATTAATTGCAATCATTAATTCTAAGTAGTTCACTTATAAAAATTACTTATATTTTTCATGGGTCCAGTAATTTAAGACTGAATATATGTTTGTCAATTATGGAAATTTATTCGCAAAGTCAGTGCTCAAAAAAAAAAAATGCATTTCAGATTTTCTGAAATTATCTGCATTATCTTCTGTAAAGTGATTTCATCCATAGTCTAAAAAACTCCAGTGTTCACCCATCAGCTACCGTTTAGCAGTTGTTTAGTTTAGTTTATGGAATAGTGATGGACCAGACAAAACTACTTTAAAAATTAAAAATCACCATCAATTGCACCCATTATATATCGATATTAAAGGAATTGGTCTCTGAATAAACCGATTGACTGGCCACTAATATTGTATGATCTGACAGCATTAAATTATTTCTTGTGAAGGTAATTGAAATAATTTATCTATATTGTGAAATATTTTTCCAAGAGCCACAGTGTTGGCTATATAGTCCAACTCGGTTTTTTGCAACTCTACCCTATAACAAAATAAAAATAGATTCCTATAATTACTTTTTATGTTTAAAGCTAACTACTAGTAGAATATATCTGTAATCTGCAATTCAACATTAGATGTGATAGGAACTCATACCATATTTTTATGAATGTTTTTTGTTTTTAGATTATTGCAGTGATCTACATTATTTGTAATGCCATAGTCATCAATCACTTAAAATCGGAAGAAAGGCATTCTCTCATACTTTACATTGTATTGACTGTGTTGTGCGTGGCGTTTGTAATGTTTCTATATGGCATACTGGGACCATTATTAGAAAACACTTGTTTGACATGGACTGTAAGTAATTAAATTATCTCTACAAAGTTCTCCAAACTAGCAAATTGATTATGGTGTTATATTATAAGTTGAATTTAGTTAACTTGGTCAACATCAATAGAATGCATTGTCATTTATAAATGACTTTTATTTCGTTGTAGTATACGGGAAATATGATAGCGATCTTAGTGTGTACTTGTCTCTTCTGGTTTGTGTTTGTAATCAATTTGGATGAAAACAAATATTGCAAAAATCAGCTCTATCAAGAATGGAAACGAGAGTTGAGATGTGAAGATAGTATGTTTTATTATCAAACCCGTGTAAGTTCTATTACCTTCTATTACCTTCCATTAAAGAGAATAATAATTTTTCTCGTATGAAATTGTAGTTAAATTGTTGTGGAGTTCTAGGTCCCGAAGATTACACGGCAGAAAAAAAAAGTATTCCTGCAAGCTGTTATTATAATTATAATACGATAAATGAAACATTTTTATTTGAGACTGGCTGCTTAGAGGAACTTACCAATCATTTTAAATCAATACAGTCCCGATATGGATGGATCATGTTTTTCTCGGTTATAATTGAAGTAAGTATAAAATAAACTGTAGTTTTAAAAGCGAAATCAAAACAAATATTTATTTTATTTGTTTTTTCAGCTTATTTGTATTATCATAGGTGTACTATTGGCACGGCATTACCAACGCTATTATAGACCAGTGCAAAATACTCCACGCTAAATGCATATTTATATATATATATTGTGAAATATTTAATGAAAATAATTTTTTTATAAAAAAAGTGTTTTTAAATGTTTTTGATAACTTATTGGAGTGTTGTGAATGGTGTCATTTATGCCATAATTTTTCAAAAATCTTTACTTATGGCAATTATATTTTTTATTAGCTATATTTATAATAAAAAGTTGAAAGTTATTCTATACGTGTTTTCTTAATCGTTGTTAAATCGAGTTATTCGAAAATAGTGACATGCCTTCACTCAGACATATCACTCGAGATATCATGTTAGTTCAACCATACAACATGTCGGTTTTCATATCTTCTTAACCACATGACCTACAATTTTTTAATGCAATTACCAGGACAATTTAACTAGTATGTGGTTATAACATATTTTTCTGAGTGTAGATCTATACCTAGTATCAATATAGTAGCTGGTGTTATAACTGAAGTCAAAAGTATAAAATAAGTGCTTGTATTTTTTTTGCAGATTCCAAGGTCTTGCAAGACTTAGGGTTACAATTCATGACAAATACTTTTTTCCATATAAACGACTATTAGAAACTGATTCCGAAAACCTTACAAAATTCTCAAAGAATATTAATTGGCCGTAATGATGTCGTTAGCTCATCTAGGAGCTAACTAGCTAAGATCAAATATCTACGAACTGAGAAGAACCGCAGTACGGAAACTTTACATAGGAATAACTAAATCGACAGAAGAGAGAAAAATGTAATAATAAAAGCTTTAAAACAATACAATGGTCCCATAAAAGGTTTATTTGTAGCCTCGCTAACGAACTTTTGTGTTAAAAAGGAAGGGCTTACAAAAATGTTGGTTACAATAACACGGATCTGTTATCTGACCCATATTCCTTATTGGAATATGGGATAAAATAGTTTATCATTCACTATTATTTTAAAATTCTGAACAATGTTATAAAATAGATTATATATCTGATTTCATTCCACACTTTTAATCATTAATTGAAACCATTTGTCTAAACTAACTAAGTAGCTGGGGGAGATAACTGAGAGTCCCTATTGATATAGTTTTGTATTATGATGTGTTTAGAGTTAGGGGTATGAGCTCTAAAGCCCATCTATACCAATATCTTTTGTAAATTTATGGAAAATTAATATTTTTATTTTTATTTCCCTCCCTCCCACAGTAGAGGGTGGGAGGGCCTCTACCTAAGAGTTCTGAACAACTTAACCAATATAAAACTTTTCTTTTCTGGGTCTGTTCAGTTGCGTGTAGAAGCCTGAAGTGTTGCAAATGAAGTGTACAGAAACACACGTCAAGCCAAAAATAAATCAATCAGTGACTTTCCATATGCAAAAAACCCTTTTTGTCTGACACACACTGGTTCGCGTAGAAACCAAACCTATTGCATATAAAATATTAAAAGGAAAAAATATTAAAAAATAAAAAAGCAATAACAAAATTATATTAAATCCTTGTAAACAAGGAATTCGTATGTTATTTCATTAGAAGTCTTTTTTGTTTTCCGCAAATTGCGCTTTTATGTTA